GGGCTGGGGGTGTGGGGTCTGGGTGGGAGTTAGGGTGCAGGAGCAGGGTGGGGGTGCAGGGCCTGGGTGTGGGAGGGGGCTCAGGGCTGGGGCAGGCAGGGGGTTGGGGGTGCAGAGATCTTACGGGCAGCTCCCGTTTGGTGCGGGGGGGTGCAGGTGGTTCTGCGTGCCCCCTGCAGCTTCCATTGGCTGTGATTCTCTGCCCAAGTTTCCGGCCCTGGGGCCCCCTGTTGTTGGAGGGCCCGGTGTCAGGGCATCCTGTGTTTAATGGTAAATCCGCCCCTGGCAGAGGCCAAGAACTGAATGATCCACTGAGTCTGAACCACATTTACGCAGCATGGACTCTATGAATCTGGGTTTGAGTCACATAAGTGAAGCAATTTGGTGGAAGCTTGTACTGCTGCCACCTCTGTAAGGACTTATTGTGTGAATAGGAAGGAGTCTTCAGTTTTCAAGGCTGCCAAGGCAGCAGCTTCCACCACCAGTATGAAATTCACTTATAAAAAGTTCTGCTTCTCAAGAAGAAAATGAACAGATTTTTTTGCCATTCACTGTCTGCATAAAACTTTTATTTGCTAGATTAATAAATAATGACAGTATCTACCTAGCACTTTACAAACAGTGACTATTATTATTCCCATTTTGTTGAGGAGAAAACTGAGGCACAGGAAAAAATGTCAGAGCCAGTATTAGAATTCAGAAGTGTTTTAATTTATATTTTATTGAAAAATATCTGTTTCTCCCCACTGCTAAATAAAGAGAGAATGGGGGGAGGGGAGAGAAAGGCAGAAAACAGAAAAGTAAAGGAATGGGCGGAGAGAGGAGAAGGAAATGGGGCAGGGAGAGGAAAGAAGAGCGACATCTTGGTTTCCATTCATTAGGAATTAATAACAGGTTTTGAAAAAGTTTGACCAAATCTTTTCAAATTTGTCTGAGGTCCCTCTTCTCCAAAACATTATCTTCTTTTTAGCTGCTAAGTCCGCATATTACTGTGCCAAGTTTCTATCCCCAGAAGCAATTTGCTTTTCTATCTAAGCAATAAGCTGTTTGGTTTTCTAGATCAATGATTGTAGCCAAACTTCCTGTGAGTTAGAGCATTTCCAAAACACAGTTCTGGGCGAAGCAACAGAGGGTCCCGTGGCACCTTTAAGACTAACAGAAGTATTGGGAGCATAAGCATTAGTGGGTAAGAACCTCACTTCTTCAGATGCAAGGTAATTTTTAGAGATGTAGCCACTATCATATTAATCCTCCTACCTATTCTACCCAAACGAATTGTGTCCTGAGATAGTCCAAAACATGTGGGCCAATGTGGCTCCAGGAGTCTCCAGCAGCAGTCAGTTTTGGCAAGGCCCATGCACTAATTGAAACCTACGTGGGGACCAGAGTGAAGGAAATAGAATTTTCTGCTGGATCAGCCTTAATCATAGATCAGTAGTAGCAGAGATTTTAATGTTTTGCAAGACACTTAATTATTGACAAGGATATACACAAATCTAAATTAGGGAGGTTTTTTGGGCCAGGAGGAAGTTCTGATAGGCTACAGCCATTCAGGTGAATGTAGATGTTTTTGGCTCCCAGGCCTGTACTCAGATTACTAGATGTTGCTGCCTCTCATGTTTATTGTACAGTACTTTAATCCAGGGGTTCTCAAACTGGGGGTCGGGACCCCTCAGGGGGTTGTGAGGCTATTACATGGGGGGGTCACGAGCTGTCAGCCTCCACCCCAAACCCCGCTTTGCCTCCAGCATTTGTAATGGTGCTAAATATATTAAAAAGTGTTTTTAATTGATGGGGGAGGGGTCGCATTGAGAGGGTTGCTGTGTGAAAGGGGTCACCAGTAAAAAGTTTGAGAAACCCTGCTTTAATCACTTGCTTTTCCCCACTCCCCCAATAAACCATTTATTAGTACGACAGTGCATTCCAGGTTGCCAGTGAATGCACTAAGACACACCTTGAGTGTTGCAAGAAACTCAGTTGTACCCTGGGGTGTGTGTGTATTTTATATATATCTTTCTACTGAGGTCACCAACAAAACTTGTATTGACTTAAATGGGAGCAGAATTGGGCACGTCTTGTTTTAGCCTCTTCCTTAACTGATCTTCCCATTTTCAATTAGAACACCCAGTGCAGGGAAATAAATTGAATAGACCTTGTTGTGAGGGAGAAAATCTTCCAACATTTCTGTTCAAGCCACTTCAATTCTCTTCTACAAGTGACTGAGGAAAAAAATTCCCCTCTCAGTTACAACCTGCAAACCCCATTGCATAGATACCACGGGGATAGGTGCTATTTAAAAACCCAAGACAGATTAATAGAGTGTAAGTGGAAGCAGAATTTGGTGCAGAAGAGGGCTCTACCAGTCATCTTATTCCAACACATACTGTTATCCAAGTGAAACTCATTACATCCTCATTTGGTCTCTTTTCCTGACATTTGTTAAGCAATCTTTGGTGCAGAGAGACAACATCTGTCTTTTGAGGGCCCAAAGATTTGTGAGGTATTAGGAGCTCTACAAATAGCAGATGGAGTTGCTTTCCATTGTGATACTTCTCCAGCCATTTCTCACCAGGAAGCTAAGGTCTTTTAACCATAGTTTTGTCTCCTTCAGGAGAGAAAATGAATTGAAAATAGATCTGATAACCCTGAGCTTTCTTCATTATAAATTAAATGAAAACCTAAAGATTTGATATCATTCTGGGCCAGCTGAGATTGAAAAGATGGATCCAGATAAACTGTTGAGACACAAGATTATTTCATTTTCAAGTGTCTTTTGCAAGTCAGAGAGCACCACAGGATTGGAGGCAGCTGAACCTTGAGACGCATTTCAAGTATCCTACAGATTAGGGGCAGCCCAAACCACCGAGAAAAATCAAATTAACTAGATTTTTTGCTCTTCTAAAAAAAATTCTCTGGTTCAATTTCATTTTTTTTTAAACACACAGCCACACAGAGATTTTGGCTCTGGTAACAAATAGAAATACCAAAATATCTCTTATGTTTCCACATCAGTTCTGACCCAAATAAAACCAGGACGCACTGGAAGTCTCATGAAAGCATCTTTGCATCAGATGTCCAGCCAAGAGCAGTTTGAATAAGCATCTGAATCTACAAGTCTCTTTATATTTCCCCAACACTAGACACAACCTATTGCTGGTACAGCTCTATTGCAGACAAATACCAATGTATTTTTGGCAATGAAATTGTTGGAATCAGCAAACTATCCTTATGGTGTCAAGTATCAGAGGGGTAGCCGTGTTAGTCTGGATCTGTAAAAAGTGACAAAGAGTCCTGTGGCACCTTATAGATTAAGGCCTTGGCTACACTGGCGCTGTACAGCGCTGCAACTTGCTGCGCTCAGGGGTGGGAAACGCCCCCCTCCCCGAGCGCAGCGAGTGCAGCGCTGTAAACCGCCAGTGTAATCAGCGCTCGCAGCGCTGCAAGCTATTCCCCTCGGAGAGCTGTGAATTCTCAAGTGTAGCCAAGGCCTAACAGACGTATTGGAGCATAAGCTTTTGTGGGTGAATACCCACTTCGTCGGATGCATGCCTTATCCTTATGGTAACATAGTGTCATCTTGAAACCATTCCCATATCCAGAAATACTGGGAATGTCAAAAAAAGTTATGGAGCTTTTACCAATTGTCTGTATATTTTCATCAACCAAGGAAACCTACAATATCAGTTATGTTAGTTCACACTAAGACCAGTCTGAGATGAACTTCATTTATTTCTGATTGCAGCATGGTTCTTTGGTACAGCAAGAAACCTTCTTTTCTTAAGGATCTCTCGCCTACCTAGATTGTCATCCCACAGGTATTCCGGGGAAAGTATTTTGGTTGGTTTATGGTAAACAAAATACTTGTTTAAGTGACTCTCTTCTTGCCAGATTGCCTCAATTCCTTTGGCTTTGTCCATCATAATGGCTTCATGGCATTTCTTGGTCAACTTGTAAACCTCCATTACTGT